GTTACCGTTAAACGTAACGAGTACCGTCCTACTACTATTACGTACGTAGTAGTAGTTAGTACGACTACTACTCCTAACTAATTACTACTAATATACTTCGTCATCTCTCTCTCTCTCTCTCTCTCTCTCTCTCTCTCTCTCACCACACACACACACACACAAGATCATGTGTGCCACTTAGGTGGCACCCAGCTCACCTAGGTGTATGCTAGAGCAGCCCCTCCATGGCAACGCAGCAGCCTAGAGCCTCAGCCCACCACAAAGCACTGCCTAGGTGCCGAGGCAGACTAACTTATACAACATTCATCAACAGTGCCACATAAAATCAGTTCAACCTAGAAGTATATAGTCATCACATTCAAGATACCAGAAGCAAGGAAAGTGTAATTTCTATGTGCCAATCGCTCTCCAATTACTAAATGACATCAGAAGCTTTGTAAGTTCAAAGAATTGCAAAGATCAACATCATCAGAAACTTCAGCACTAGATTAAAAAGAAATCTATATATAGTCTAAGAACCAAATATATGTCATAAATATCTAGACGGTAATTAAATGGTGTTTCAACTGGAGGATTAAAATCAACCTGACCGGTCCACATGATTTCAGGCCCTTCCCCCAAAATATGAAGTATAATGCTGTTATCCCTCCATTTATAATTGAAGGAACCACCTGAAACATTACATCCCGTTAAACAATACAAATGTAATTTATCTTAATAGTTTGTCATCTCTTACATATCATGAAAGCAATTTTTAATGGTTAAAGCATTTGAATTGTATGTCCAAACAGTGTTGGATTAAATAGTACTTGACCTGTGAATTAGACAAAGCACGCCCTTTCCATGGCTTTTGCAAAGCTAGAAAGATTATAGATGATGGAACCAAACAAGTGAAAAGGAAAGCAATGACTGATGCTCCTTGCTCAGTAACATATAGGTACATGGAGAAAACCGACCATATCCTCATAAAGTTGCCAATAATATGGATTATCTGCAAGGGGGTGTACCTGCCAGACTAAAAAAGCTTAGTCATGAGTCGTGATTTCAGGCATTGACTCGCATGGAAGATCCCACAAATGAAATGTAAGAGAAACTAGCCAAAAAAGAGGATTTTCAAACTTGTAAATACTGCATTAACCATCAAGCATGTCACAGAACCAAATATGACTTCTGACAACTTGCTGAAGCCATAAAAATATCACTCTGTACATTCTGAAGTGTCAACATCTTGTTAGGATCATTTTTATTTCAAAAACCATTACGAATGCTGACCACAAATAATCGTAAATAGGATATCGATTACCAATCCCTAGGTCCACTAACAATCTTGAGAATGTGTTGGTCAAAATGGAATTAAAAATTGTAACGGAAGAACTTACTGCCGTACTAGATTTGACCACTCCAAACCCCCTCTTGACTCTACAACTAGATTTGACCACTCGAAAGTCCTAACAGCCAAACTAGGTCCACGACTTGATATAACTCAATCGGCAACTTCATACAACCATACTCCATTAAACCAGGGAAGCAGGACATGTATTCACACATACAATAGCAGTTTGAAAAAATTCAACAGCATGATTCAAAAGAAACAACATTTTCATCATCATCAAAAATAGCAGAGCCATTTAAAGTTTTTTTATTTCTTTTTGGGGGTAATGAGCTACGTAAAGTTACCTTAAAGAGAAAACATATCTTCTCCTCAACAAGTCATCAACTTTGTCATCATTTTTAGCTTAAGACTAGAGAAAGGGAGAGACTACTCCAAAAAAAACTCAACTGGTTTAGCCTGTTACCACCCTCGAACTCACCCATTGGAACCCCTTTTTTAGGAATAAAAGAACTCAGAACCACCTTGCCTTTGCAACAAACCCAAGGAAGTGAACTGATAACTTCCCTTCCACGATAGAATGTTTCTTCCAGTAAACGCATTTCCTCGATAGTACACTAAGGGCATGTTTGGATGTACTTGTTATTAGTGATAATTCACTATTTCAATAAATTAATTCTCACAAAGAATCATTGTTGTTTTGCAATGTGCTAGTAAAATTGTTTTGAGATAAGCATATAGGCAATTTTACATATAAGTTTATCATTTTAAGTAGTTGATTTCACTTTATTCAAAGTAATTTGCTGAAATTACATGTTTTTACTAATAAATAACTAAAAAAACTTAAAAATATCGAAAAAATTAAATAACTAAATAATATTACACACAATACAAGATATGAATCAAACAGCTGACAAAATAACATTATGCAGAGTATATTTATTTCTGATATAATCTATAATACAAGTACATAATGAACAGTTAACAAAATACTATTATGAGAAATATATTAATCTCAGATAAGATAGTCTACCCTTGATAAGCCCTATCAAGCCCTAAGTTTTGGAGCAAGTTACTTGTTTCCCTATCAAACATAGAAGATCTTTTGAATAGCCCTTGAACTACTAATGACTTGTTCCAAACTCCCAAAGTAAAAAGAATTCAAGCCACAAGAGAGGCAATAAACACAATAGAGACCTGCAAATAATGTACATAACCTTTTTTTTCAACATAGCAAAAGATTTGCAAGAGCGCGTGGAAGGAGAAAGCACAACCTTTATTACTTGACTTCCCATATTGTATGAAGTACTAAAGACTTGTCATCTTGGTGGGAAGCCCACACAGGATTCCAGTTGAAGTCATTGCCTTTATGCATATGGTTATTCACTCAAGAAGGTTATTGATATACCTTACGTTATCCACAAATTCTTAAGACTCGAGTTTCTATTGTAGAGAAGCCTAGAACCCAAGGTAAGCATAGAGAAGGGCCATGAACATGTCAACTTAGGCCTCTAATAGTGCAATACTAGCATTTTACAGGTATTGGTGTCAAAGAATGATGAACAAGGTCAATTATAGAGTGTATCTCCTTGGATTTCTTCAAGATCTTGTTAAAGATTCCATAAGGGCCTTCGCAAAAGCACTCAAGTCCTCAGAACACAAATACTGGAAAATTAGATCCAACCCCATCCGATCTGGGTCTGGGTCCATTCAAGACATGAACGGGATGAGTCAGGTTCGAGTCAAGGCACACACACACACACACACACACAACTAATAGTTTTTATATATTATAAAACATAATATATATAATATATTATTTAGACCCATACCCGACCCGATGGAGGTCCAGGTCCAACCCGGACCCAATCGCATTGGGTCTAGGTCAGGGTTGACAGGATTCGACCTGACCCGTTTACACTTACAGGTTCACATTCGAATCGATAGAGGACCTCATGGGTCTCATGTGTGGCTCCCGATAGGAGGTAGCATAAGTCCCATGGCTATCTTTTGGCAAGGAGAAGTGTGATTTAGAGGGAGAAGAAGACACAAACATTGGAACAGAAATATCATCTAATTTGCCATTCCATAAAAAAGGAAATAAACAAAGTTCCATCGCTGAGTGACAAGTGGCAAATTCATGGAAAATTGCAATTCCCACTACACAATAATGCACCTATACTTCTTCATCAACATTGTTTTTCAACTGGAAGACCCAAGACTTTGGGCTATCCAGACACATGTGGAATTAAATAAATTACAAGATTTTCAAGTGCACCTACATGGACAGCAAGAGGATCAGGAAAAAAATGAAATACAATATGGATCATGTAATATTCTGGGCCCTTGGCTCCAAAGAATTGTTTTATAGGTCATAGTAAGTGAACAGAAGTTGATCCTAGTCCTTGACCTCTTTTATTGTATGATCGTGTAGTTCCAGTCTTATATTCTTATATACGGCCTAGTGGCCAACAGCTACCAGAGGGTTTCTCATCAGTGTTCGAAACAGCTCCAACCGGAACCAGGGCCTTCCACATTATTGGGAATGGTTTTTCCCTTTTTTTGAAGGATAGATTAGGGGCTTACTTAGAGCGAGCAATGGTAGAACTCTTAGTAGGGAACCACTTTTCCCTTGACCTTTTCTAGTGTTGATTTTATCTTTTCTTTTCTAGTCCTTTTATTCATGGGTCATGTCCTTTTTTTTTGGGGGCGGGGGGAGGGGGGGGGGGTAATTAGGTCATGTCCTTTTGGTTCCACTAAAGTGTGGAACGAGGCAGAACCAATCTGCTGATTATTACTTACAAAGGATTACTACCACATGTTACATGATCAAATCTTCTCCATCAGAGTAGTCACACAATTGACAGAAAACCTCTTCACATGAACATCTAGTCATGAAGTCAATGATGAACTATTCCTAAAAAAAAATAAGTTTTAATGGCAAATATTTAAAACGAATCTGCCAAATAAGGAGATTTTTAATGGCAAATATTTAAACGAATCTGCCAAATCAGGAGATATGTGCACATACGGTATAGCTAATGTCTAGACCAAGAAGCCATAGTAGCAATTGCATCAGTAATAGTCTATATTGGCAATATCATATCCAATGCTTCAAATTTATGCCTATTATGTTATCATTAATCTGTGAAATTGTTCCTTTTGGACTATTTAAGGAATTATTGTGGGATAAATTGAAGAGGGGTATAGTTAAGTGACTCCAAATTCATAAAATTGAGTGATTTATTATATTAGTATATTAAATCAGAAAGAAACTAAATCATCATCCAGTATGAAAGCATCATATATGAGCGTTATTACTACGTATGCAGGGATAGATATGCATGTATATTGATTTTATGCATGCGCTCACACCCACATGCAAACCACATTGATATAAAAGTTGGAATCCAATTATCCACATGTGCTTTGAAGACTACGTAGTTTAGATCTTTTCAGAGAATTTTGTAAAATAGTTACGCCTTGATTTCTTTTAGTCATAGCAGTAAAATCTATGAGATTTAAAGCCAATTCTCCATCAAGGATGAGCTCCACATGTCTCCAATCAAACATCAGAATCCAGTAAGAACTCTAAAAGACAATATAATTCTCAGGCCTCTACAGAAATTTTCTACAAGATTCAGAATCATAAAAATTGAATAACTTCTGCATACCAATTTATAGAAAAAGTGTTAGTCCCTCAAATGTCATATGAAGGGAAATATGGAAATAGGAAGACCAATATACAAACATAAATCATCATTGTAGACTCCTCAAGACATTTGCATCATGAGATCTATTTATCATGATATTTTAACTCCAAAGGAACAGAGTGATAAATTTGCCAACTCCATGTATATCATGTGTTAACCCAGAGTCCTTTATTTATCAATAGAGATGAGATTGTGAGAGAGATAGAGAAAGAAAAAGCATAGCCCAAACAGTTCAATTGCCTAAACATTTCAATTTGAATGTGAAAATGAAATATATCAAACCCAGAGAGAAAGACGCAAAAAGAGACAGATGAAGTGTTTCTCCCAACCCATGTATTCCATACTCTACTGTTCCTCATCACCAACGAGATGAAGACGAACTAAATTTCCCGACCTATTCACCCATGAGATCTAAATTACACTAACTTTCGATGACAAAAGAAATTACAGGCAGGTACAGAGCAATTTACCATCCATTCACGCATGAACCCCACACCCAACTTCTCCAACCCCCAGTAGACAGAGATAGAGGTTAGACCCCAAAAAATTCTAGAGAGAGAGAGCAACTCCAATTTCCTCAAGTTATCAAGCCCATAGAGAGAGAGAATTACCCTTCCCATTCATCCATAGACTCCATTTCTCTAAATTTTCCATCATGTAATAGCTATAAAGTCATATTGGAGCACCATAGAAAGAGAAGAGGAGATAAAAATGTGACCTGAAGGAAGCTGATCCAGGTCTCTGGTTCGTTATCCAGGCGTGGCCATTAGAACGAGAATCACCCACATCCAAGCTTGGCTTAGGGGACATCATCTTCTTCACCAATTAGGGCACAAAATTCATATAAAGCCAACCACAAAACTCTCTCTCGCCAACTAGGGCACAAAACCCTCTCTCTGAAACTTCTGCAACAAAAGAAAATGGCATTCGGAAGAGAGAAAAACATGCACGTGCAATGTGACGCGTGTGAAGGCGACGTGGCGTGTAAGTGTATATGGTACTAGCATTGTTTAAAAAACGCCGAGTCCCCGGTTCGACTCGAAAATCGCTATGAGGGATCGTATCGGTTAAAAAATCGAGAATCATCCGGTTCTAGAGAGAATCGTTCGGTTCTAAAGAGAACCGGACGATTTTGTACAGTGACTCGTACGGAATCAGCGAGTCCGTGAAGAACACGGGTTGTATAGTGTTCTTCACGGGATTTTTTGAAATTTGTCATTTTTTGATCATTTTTCTTGTTTTTTTTGCAGGCTGTAAATAGCTTTATTCAGCTTTTACAAGGATTAAATGGTTGAAAAATTTGGTGTTTTTGGATCACAAAACTTGCTTTTTTTAGGGTTTCCGCCTTTTCTGAAAGTTTCATGCCAAATAGGACATGAATCTTTCAAAATTTGTAGGCATTTTGATCGTAAAGCTGTGAATCAAAACCTTTTATTGCTAATTTGTGATAATCGTTGAGAAAAACAGAGTTTTTTGGAGATTGAAGGCTTCGGTTCACAAAATCAAGTAAGAAGTTTGGGTTTTTTTTTTTTCCGCCATATGATTTATTTTACGGCATATTTTGAACATAATGAGTTCAATAATTAGGGTTTTTAATCTTTATTGTGTCTAGTATGATTTAAAATTTTCAATTTTACGTAATTTGGTCAATTACAGCATGAAATTTGAGATGAACACAAAGATGTCTGCGGAACCAAAATTCCGCTGTTTTTTTTTTTTTTTTCCGCCTTTTGATTTTGTTTTCATGATATATTAGAAATAATGTGTTAAAAATTTAGGATTGTGATTCCTTATATTGTTGTTTATCAAAAAATGTACTCAATTGGATGTAATTTATTCACTTAGAGGTGGATTTTTGAGTTAAGATGGCTTATGTAAAATGGCTTTGTGAAGAACAAATTTTTTTTTTTTTTTGTAATCCATGATCGAATTGTCTTTTTTTTTTTTGTAATCCATGATCGAATTTTTTGTTCTTTTTTTTTTTTGTAACCCATGATAGAATTTTTTGTAATCCATGATCGAATTTTTTGTAATCCATGATCGAATTTTTTGTAATTCTTGATTGAATTTTTTGAAAATTTGTGATTTTTTTTTTAATCCATGATCGAATTTTTTTTTGTAATCCATGATCGAATTTTTTGAAAATTTGTGATTTTTTTTTTTTAATCCATGACCGAACTTTTTGAAAATTTGTTAATTTTTTTTTTTAATCCATGATCTAATTTTTTTTGTAATCCATGATCGAATTTTTTGAAAATTTGTTGTACTTTTTTATTTATTTCTTTTTATCCATGATCGAATTTTTTGAAAAATGATGATTTTCCGAAAAGATGTGAAAATCTTGATAAGGTTTTAATTATCATGATGTATTAAACCCAATTTTTAATTTTTATTGTTTGAGTTTGCTGTAATTTTTTTTTTTTTTTCCCATGATCGAATTTTTTGAAAAATGATGATTTTCCGAAAAGATGTGAAAATCGTGACAAGGTTTTAATTATCATGAGGTATTAAACCATATTTTAAATTTTTATTGTTAAAGTTTTTGTTGAAAAAATTGTATTGTTGATGGATTATTTATGCAAAAAAATGCATGCTATTATATTTTTAATGCAAAACTGTATTTTTTTTTATCTGTTGTTCATGGATTTTTTAGTTGGAATG